GAAGCCGGAGATGGAGGAAAGCAGACGGTCGGAGACGAAGAACAAAAGTCGGAGAGAAGGAGCGCAGACGGCCGGAGATGAAGGAACACAGATGGTAGAAGACGAAGGAGCGTAGACGGCCGGAACGGAGGAGCGTAGACGGCTGAAACGAAGCAGTCTTCGAACAAGAGAGGAAGAAGAAAAATCGGAGGAGGGGTTTTCAAATTTTTTCAATTATGGAAGATTTTGGGAATTTGATTAGTATTTTGGGATTTGGGATTTGGTATTTGGTATTTTTTACTTTTGGAAAGTCTTAATTAGGCAAAATTTAAGGGATTTAAATGGTAACCTCAATGGTATACCAGTAAATTGGGTGATGGGTACCATCTTAAATTGGGTTGTTTGATAACAAAAGTGCAAATTTTATACATTCAATCTTTTTATGTAATTATGATATCTAATCATTTTATGTAATTATGATATCTAAATAGGCTATGAATGTACTCATCCCAATAAATAATGCTTTAATTCATATCTCTCTCTCTCAATAAATTAGCCTTTTAGTCTCTTCCAATCCCAAACATTTTTTGCACACATATAGAGGGAGACCATACTTGCCAAGACAGCTAGCTATCACATTCCCATTAAAAATAAAATCATATTATATAATAACATAAGATAAAGAGAATTTGACAATGACCAAAAAAAATTGACATGCCTCCAATTTTTATGAAGTGGAGTGTATATGACCCATAAAACAAAGAGAATATTGAACAATCTTCTCCATTTACATGGGCCCAATGTATATGGGTGATGTAGCTTTGGACATATTAGTGGTTTAAACCTATTTTTTCACCCAAAATTTTGTATTTATTCTATTTTAATAACTAAATATTCAAATATTCTATTTTAGTTCAAAAATTTATTTCAATCCTTGCTATTTGTTTTTATTTAATTATTTACCGTAGATATATTCTATTTTGAGACGCAACATCTGACCTACTACATGTGACTTCAAATATTTGTCTATGTAAACATATATTCACTAGATAAATGAACAAAATACGTGTCTATATTAAATATCTATTAAATAATTTAAAACTAATATTGAAAATAATAAGAACCTGTGTAGTTTTTTATACAAAGCTCAAAGATTATACAACGTGTTTGAAATTTAATAACAAACATAGAATAAATATGATTATTTTGGGACTAAAATAAAATTTAAACCTACGCATGTAACAATCATTTCTTGATTGAAAAAGTTTTTGATTAGAGAGAATGAAAGAAGGTAAAAAAATGAAATTTCTAAACACGGATCATGTCTCAATTTGGTGGGGATCAAAGCAAAGACGATAGTGAAAAAGCAAAGAGAAGCACTTGAGTCCAAATAATATACAACTGAAGTTGCATTTGACAAATTTCCACTCTCTTATTATACATCCAAAGTTTAAATAAACTTATTTCAAACCACAATAATTTCGAAGGTGGAATTGTCGTTATGGGAGATGATTTGAAACTTCACCAAAACTCGAATGAATTATGATAGTTCTGTATTAATTGATTGAAATGACAGTTCTCTATGGATATTAAAATTGAAATTTAAAGGAAGATCCACATAGAAATGCATGATTATGCTTTAAGAATGTGTTCGAGAGTTAAAAGGATATGAAAGTTGTGGGTCTCCTATGTCTTTTAGAGAGTGTGAATGAATGGATGGATTTAGAGGTGGCTTAGTCCTCATCCACGACATTAATTTTAGGGTTTTTTTTCCTTGTAAAAATGAGATATATTGCAAGTGGAAAAAATGGATCAAATAGAACCAGGAGACAAACATCATAAGAAATACTGCATACAATAGAATTGAGAAAGGAAAAAAAAAAACTCAATTTTGAAAATAAATCTTGAGCTGACTCTATCAGTGGCCGGGATCTAGAACAAAACTCAGATTTATTTTTTGAATTTTAGGGTTTTTCAAAGGTGTGATATTCAATGGCTGGCCAGATTTGTAGGAGTCTTGTGGCCTTAAAGCTAAACATTTAAACCTTATCATTGCAATTCATTACTGTTTTAGTACAAAAATTGACATTTTATTTACTAATTGGGACCCAATCAAACACGATGGTTTCACTTCATCCAACATCCATACTATATTCATTCTATGCTAAAATGTGAAGAGATTCAAATTAACAACCAAATTTGAAGTGAAACGAAAATTGAAGCAAAAATAAGATTTGAAATCACGTTTGGTTTCATATATTTTTATTTTGAATAATAATATTAAAAAAGGTCATTTCAAATCCATTATATTATGACTAAAGACCTGAAAACAAACAGACAACGAAACAAAGTTCACTATTATTTTCTTTAGTTTCTTTGAAGTTTATGACGAGTATCAGATTACAAAAAGAATACTTACAATAGAGATAAAACAGAACCTGTAAAGAACTTGCCTATGTGCTTATGGAATACAATCTGATTGCTCATCCTACACTGCCACCACCACCGCCCCCAGGCCGAAAATTGCATCTTCTATGCAGGTCGAGATCCCAATCCTGATCGTGCAAGGAAAGATCTTGCCAAAGAGCAAACATTTTCTTTCTGCTTTTTATATTCGCCATAACGCAGAAAGAAATAGCCAATGTAATCAAAAGTGATCGGAGACATCCTCGCCTATAAAGAAGAGTAAAATGATTAAAAAGTTTGGTCACATAGTTCATGGTTGCTGGGAATGGGAGTAAGGTACCTGTATCAGCGCCCATAAAGCCCAATACAAGTGAGAAGCTAGCATGAATGTGTTTGACTCTACGTAGAGAGTTTCGAGATCTTTTTCGGATACCTTTCAGGAAAACACGGTAATTCTGATTACTATTGAAAATTGTTACTTAAAAAGAGTACAGATAATGCAGATAGATGTTAGTGCTAACGACTTTTCTGTTGCTGGTGTGTTTCCATTCCATGTATGTTAGAAATATCATAATCATAGTTATAAGATTATCAAGCTTTATGCAGCCTAGTGCAGAGTACCAGCTCAATATAAGCAAGCATAGTGAGCCTCTAGTTTTACAATGCACTGAGAAGGACAGAGAAGAATATTTGTGGCAACAACTAAGCTGAAAGCATGATGCGTAAAATCCTAATCCTATAGTGTCTGATGCTGAGGAAATTAGATGTGTATTTCTGTCAACGCACCTCATCTGGTTTTTCAGGTTGTAAATAATGTCTGAAGAAATGATACTGTTCCATCTTGGATGGGTACCTGCTCAAGAATTGATAAATTGTAGTCAAACTGCATTGTTCCGACATTGTAGAAAGAGAATTTAAAGATGAAAAGAAGATTTAGAACCTACTGGCTGTAGTCACAGTTATAGCCTGCATATTCATTGAAGTGATTACCGATGTCATAGCCTCTGTAATTGTATGACCCGTACTCAAAATCAATGAAGTAGAGTCGTCCTGGATGTTTGTAAGATAAGCAATGAAGTCAATAGGATGAGCATCTTATTGCAACTAAATCTCACAACCAATCCTTCGTCAACATGAACAAATACTCTCTCAACCTAGTAAGAAAAGTAAATAGCTAACCAGATGACGATGAAGTCCTAATGCATGCTGTACCACGGATACTACCAACATAACTACTCCAACAGCTCCTAAGGTGTTCATTCTCAACAGTCAAAAGGCATGTTAATGTTGCTTTAACTATTTGGGAATTAGAAGATATTTTATTTAGTTGATGTTGCTTAAGGATTACTGCAAATCAAAGAACCAATCAGCATCCAGTCCCACTCGCACCTCAACACCATTTCTTACTATTCATAAAGAACCTAACATCCTTAATAATTGCAATCTAGAAGTAGGCATCCTCGTAATTCATATCATAAAGAAATGGAAAAACAACGCAAGTGGAATATGTTATTACAGTGGGTTACCTTCAGTTTCATTCAGCATTATGTTCCCAGAAAGCAGGTCATTGTGAGCAAACACTTCGGGGGCATTAAGGAGACCAGTTAGTTCCTGTTTGATTATGGCAAGTTGCATCAGTAAACAGGATTGTCTTTGTGTATGACTACAGCAGATGGTCACTCAAAAATAAATCAAAACTTCAAAGGCTAGTATACAGAGCATAAAAAAATAAATAGCTAAGGAAGAAACTACCTTAATTTCAAGTATTTCATTATGAATTTCCTTAAATGAAATTGTGTCGTATATGCTTTGTTTCCCAGTATCATCAAATTGAAGTGCAGAGGCTGAAAGTCAAGAATGAGCAACGTGAAAACCAGATCAAATGAAAGTAGAATGCTAAACTGCATGAGGAGTCCTCCGAACCAAAGAAGCTTGTTCTTGGTCAACAAAAATAACCTTTTTCGTAAAATTTGAAAATGTCGTTCCATAACTGAGGTTCTTTAGGTCCTCGAACATTTACTTGGTGGAATTTGTTGAGCTGTTTGGCAATTTCTCCAGCTATCTTTTCATTTTTGAAATCTGCAAGACCAGGCAAACTGTTAACGTAATATTTGTTATTATAGGGTTTGTAAGATATGTGCTTGATATATACGAGAACATAAGAAATTGAAAGGGAAATTGCTTTCATGATAAACACACAAGAAAGTCTATTGATGGTAAAAAATATGGGCAACTCAAGGGGTAAAAGAACTCCCAAAAAAATTGATTGCCCACACTGAATCAGGGTACAGGTCAGTTAGGTTCATGTGATATTGAACTAAACCAATTGGTCTTCTCTAATCGACCTCCAAAACAAATCAATTTTCATTTAAATTTCAATTAATGCATGATAGAGTATCCTCCAGTCAAAATTACCTTCAAGTCTGATGAACTCCCTCATTTCATAAGACAGGCTCTCACACTCTAAACTACAAATAATGACCTTGAACCCCACCCAAGGGCGGCCATTTGAATTATTAATAATGAAAAAGTTTTAAGAACCTCAAGTGAAATGGTCAAATCCCAGCCAATATACAGCAGCTATACATTAAAAACAAATTTCAAAACCAGGCCTGACTATTTAAGTCGTGGATATTATTAAATTCTGTCTCCATTGATCGGAACTACAAAGCTTTCAATGAGACCACTACTAGAATGAAGCATGACACAATGCAACAATCTTCAATACTGAAAGTTAGGATTGGATTGTCGCTAGATAATATCTAAATCAGAAAGTTTCTAAATGCTTTCTTACCCGCTGGCTCTAGCGTACGTGCATTAATAAATGACTGCACCATGCCATTACTAAAAACTCCAAGAAGCTTGGCACCAAATCCTGCCGCTGAAAGATATTTGATTGCCTAATGCAAGATTTAAAGACATTACAGAGTGAATAACATGATATAAGCAAACATCACTCACTACAAGGGAGGGAAAGCAAAGTGAAAATTAACAATTAGTAGCACCTTTTGGACAATTAAATTCAAGATATAAAAACAAAAATGCATGGTTTAAGAAATCAAACTGGAACCAAAGACAAGGAAATGGAATAACAGATAAAGAAGATAAAGATTTTAAGGGATTTAGCCGCAACGCCTACACCCTCTAAGTGAAAGTCACAAGATCCCTCACCAAGCAATTAGCCTAGCCCTCTCTGCGCCAAGAAACAGGATCTCCCTTGCAAAGCAGATAGACTCGAGTACATACAGAAAAACAACTGACATTTTCCTTAATAAATGTGAACCAATTACAGAGAACAGCTCTTCACTACTTGTATACACACATAAAACAAATCAATAGAATACTGTCTACCTTAACAGCTGTATATTTATCCGACCCAGAATACCAACAACAATTTTATTGATTAGATGAGTTCACAAAAAAAACTAATAAATAAACTACCAATATTGTATGGTTAAAGAAGTTGGATTAATACTAAGATGATAATGGTCAAAAATTGTAAAATATTCATATCTGAATTCTGCATCGACAAAGATTTATTATATGTCAAAGTTATAGTTCTTGATTATCATGTAAACATGAAGGGGGCGCAAATATAGGATAATAAGAACATTTTCCAGCATAAAATTTTTAACTTAACTATTTTGTAAAATGATTTGAACATAATAATAGAAGTGAATAGAGATCAACATAAAACTGCCAAGTACTAGAACTATGTATTCAGACTCCAGTAGCTTATCAGCCTTACAGATACCTAAGCAATAGGACCTAAACGGCTGACTTTCGATTTACAGATTGCCCGGTAAGATCATGAATGCTGATTCTGCTGGAAAATGAAACCCCATGCCCGCCAAGATAGAGAGGATAAGAGTAAAACAAAGAAGAAAAAACAACGTAACGAACACGAACTAGAACCTAACACTTGGAATACACAACCAACGGATATTTTGATATTCGATCAAAACGCGTAGCAACTCACCAGCAGTTCCCTGTCACGATTAATTACATAATCCGTGTTAGGTCCATATAGTCTGACGGTGACGGAAACGTCACTACCACTTTCCTCTTTCACCGTAACCTTGAGCACTGCGGAAGTTAGAAAAACAAATTCCTGTTACATAACATTACACCGCAAGCAACGAAGAAATCAAGAACCAGCAAGCTCGAACATAATCTTGCCTTAATCTAATCGAACGAAGAAATACATCGTAAGCGAACACTCACGTAGATTAGTGATTCCACCAGAGACGGTTTGGACAGAGAAGCGAGAATCGTCCAGCCTCGACCACTCCTTGAACAGATCTTTGCAGAGCTCGCTGCAATAAAATCAATAAAAACGATACAGAACGAAAAAAGAAACCAAACAAGCTTAAAGAATTAGCTTCAGTGGCCGCATTCCGCGAACTCCGAGAAGCTAGGAGATGTAATCATCCAAATTCGTAGAAACACGAAGCACTCCGGTTTTCTTGCTTCAAGTTCGTCGGAAAACGTAACAGAAAAAGCAGAAATTCACGAAAGATACGGCGAAAGAAAAGCCATAAACAATTCATCCGTGGAAAATCAAGGAGGAAATTGAACGAACATGATGCGAGGGGTCATGGCGGGAAGAGGGAGAGAGAGGTCGACGGAAATAGACGATGTGTGATACGTCTCGGCGGCGAGTTCTCCGTCGCCGGCTTCTTCCACGTCGCCGGAGCCATTGCAGATCTTCTTCGCTCCCATAATCTTCTCTCAATATTTTCTCAGCTATGAATCAACAAAAGTTCATTCGGAGTTTCGAACTCAAAATCGGATTGCTCGAGCCATTCTTAAATATATTAATAGAATTTATGCTCCTTCATCTACGATTCTGTATTCTCTATGAGCCTGGCGGCGATGCTCCGCCGTACGATCAAAAATGTCAATTTTAAATTATATATTCTGATAAGTTAAACTTAATTTCGTCTTATTTTCTTCAGAAAAATAAATAAATAAAGATTCGTCTTATTAAATTCGTTTTTAATAAATTTTTAATTTGGTCCTTAATGTTTTTCAAATTCTCAGTTTTACCACTGATATAAATTTTTTCAATTAGATTCCTCTGTAGAAAAAAAAATAATTAAATTTTGTAGTCAAATACATACAAAGCATCGTACCTTTGTCTTATTTTTATCTGTAGGCTTCTATGAAACAAAAAATTATTACTTTTTGCCGTATTTTTAAAATATTTATTTTAATTCATTCATTTTTAAAAATAGCTCATTTTAGTTCCTTAATTTTCATTCTTATCTTATTTATTTCTATCAATATTTTAGTGTGTCACTTCACTCACTAAATTTTTTGAAACGTAAATATAAAAATTTTTATTAATAGATTTTATCATAGGTAAAATTTGTGTTAAAATTTTGTAAATAAATACTAAATTATTCTTTTTAAAAGTAGATGAACCAAAACAAAAAGTGAAATGTCTAAAATTGAACCCGTTTGGTAGTGTTGTCGTTTCTTGTTTCTATTTCTTATTTTTTAATAAAGAAAAATAAAAGTGTACGACTTCAACCCTATATATTCAAGAATGATTAAATAATATTTTTATTTATGTTTTAGAACGAAATGGAAACAAAAACAAAAGGCAATAAACTTGTTATTATTAATTTTAAAATTTCTATAGAAGTTCGAAAATATTTCTATAAACAAATTAAAAATAAGTAAAATAAATAGTTGTTCAATTCTTAATAAAATTGAAAACTAGAAACAATTAACTCAACAACAACCCCCACGCGATCAAGATGAATTGAAGGCATAGACTCATAATACAGAGATAAAAAGAGTATTTAAACACCTTTAAAATTTTAGTTTATCAAATCTAAAATAATTTGTGAAGTTAATATCCCCGTTGAATTTTTTTTTTTTTTTTGGTTAATTTTCATGGCTAGTTATAGACATTTTTTAGCTTGACCCTTTTTAGCAAAATTACTGTCTTTTAGTATTGATTTGGAATTTTTTCAAACTAATTTAAAAACAGAGTTGTTTTAATTGGTTATACTGTGACCCATCCCACCAAGTATAAACTAACTCTATTTTCAAAATTGATGTTAAAAACTACCATATTTTTATTATTAAATTTTAAATAAATTTTTAACCGTTGAATATCATATTATATCCCGACTATTCACATAATTATAAAATATTATATCACGCTCTTGGCTCTTCAATTATTCCAAGAGAAAGTAAGACAAACTTTTAAAAGAACATTATTAGACACCAAAAAAAAGAAAATATATATTGTTTTTTCAGTGGGGAAAAAATCAATATTTCTTTGTCAGTTTTATATATTTGTATTCTGTGGTGGAAATTGGTCATCTGTGTACAATTTCAAACAATAATATTTAAATTCCTACAGCCTAAAGTTTCAAAAGTTGTTCAAAATAATCAATAAAGTCAGGTTTTTATTTCTCAAAATGTTAAAACGTTTTTTAATTTGATGGACCAAAGTGAGTAGATGAAAAGGACTTTTTTCTCCAAAAAAAAAGAACAAAGAAACTTTTTTAAAATTTCAATAAGAAAAATTATAATTTATTTGTATGTGAAACTATAATCTTCTTTCCGAGGATGATTTGATTGATTTAATTTAAAAAAAAAAATACAACTGTTTCTCCTCTTACTTTTACGACTCATGTAATCAAATTTCTCATCTATCTTATTTCTACGATTGATTAAGTAAAATTCAAAAAAATCATTTTCTATCACATATCTAACACAATAAACAAATACTTTTCAAATATATATTTCTTTTCTAGTCAACTAATTAGTTTTTCACTTCAATAGCAATGAGTAAACAAAGTTAGGGGAGAGATTGAAGAACCAAACTTTCAACTTCATGATAGTAATAAATATCTAGTCATGTTCGAACGAACTACTCTAAAAAGACGTGTAATATATACTAATACATTCTTGTGCAATCCGTGACTTAATCAGCATTTTTTTTTATTGTATCTATTGTTTAGAAAAAGTGGTTGACTTTATTAATGATACTCTTAAGATAATATCTTAACATAACAATAAAAATACCTATGAACTTTTAGTTGATTCATTCATTGAAGTATTTATATCTTATTTTATGAATACGTCAATTTCAAGCTTTATCTCTATGAGCAATTATCAAGGTACACAAGGCAAGGTACGATGTTGAAATTTATGCGACAAGATATTTAATAGGACCAATACTTATCATGATTCAATGTCTTTAGAAAATAGATAAAGTTCCCCATACTCATGAAAGCAAACATTCAAACCAATTTTTTTTGTATCATTTAAAATAATAAAATATACGAAAGGTTTGTTTAATGAGATATTTTTAAAAGTCATTACATACATAATTTCCGTAAATATAATATAATTTTCTATGAGATGGAAGGTTAAATCTGTATATTTGTAAGTATTTTTATTTACTATTTTTCCTTTCATGAGATATTTTTAAAAGTCATTACATACATAATTTTCGTAAATATAATATAATTTTCTATGAGATGGAAGGTTAAATCTGTATATTTGTAAGTATTTTTATTTACTATTTTTTCATTAAACTTGCATCGTCCAATATATCTCAGATAAAAAGAGTAACAACTTTTAGGAATCCAAGAAGACAATTATTGTCATCAACAAACGATAGGGACTATTTGGATGTTTTCCCAAATATTTCCAAGTTAAAAATACCAACCATAGATAAAGAAAATATTTTAATAGGAAAGTTTTATACTAGGGTACATTTTTGTTCTTTTCAGGGTACAATTATCAATATTAATATTAATGTTTTAATTTTGAGAATGAAGTTCAACTTCAATTGGTCATTAATGGAATCAAAGATTTACAAAAATGTATTAAAGCAAGAGATTGCATTGAAGTAACCAACATTTTAACAAATCGTGTAAGGAATGAGAATTATATAGGGTCTAGAATCGTCTAAAATGGGTGTAACATTAACCTCAAAGGAACTTTAGTAGCACATACGTTGTTAGCAAAAGTTCAATTTTTACTTTACCTTTGTAATTTATTTGTTTAGTTTATTTTTCTCACGATCAGAATCAACAAGAAGAAAAAATCGGGTAGATTATTCGATTCTATTTTCTAGAATGTCCCAACAACCCTTCAAAAAAATAAGACCAAACTAATTAGACAGTAGATTCGATCGGTATCTTAATAAGTTTATACTCAATTTAGTAAGTACGTGCTCTTTTTAATATTGGACTATGTGAATCATAAATATATTAATTTATTTGATGGGTTACCCTTTCACTTATTTTAATTTTTTGAATGTCGGATTTGATTTTGACAATAACCACTTGAGTTGAATGTAAAAATTGTTGAGAAAAGTATAAAGGAAAGAAACACATCTTTTCAATATATAACATATACCACACCTTTTTTTATTATTATTATTCGTAATATATATCACACGTTATTTAGACACGTGTGTTGTAATATGCTGTGGATGAACCGTGGCCATGTATAAAAGACAAAAAGCTCTTTACTTAAAAAAAAAAGAAAAAAAGAAAAAAAAAAAGAAACTAACTTTTTATTTTCCGAGAAAGGATACCAAAAATTGAGCCCCACATATTAAATATGTCAAATCATCAGTATCACTGTTTGATAACCCTTCCACTTTCATTTCTTGCTTTAAAATGGTTCCTTTCTTTCTTGAAACATATTTGTATTTTAAAATAAATTTTAAAAATAAAACTATTTTTAATATATTCCTAAGTAGTAAGTAGTAGAGTCAATTTGGATGCAATTCGATTATTCTCGCATACTCTCAGATTATTAAATCCTAAGTAGATGTGATTTAAACTCATAAATATAAACTACTTTTTTGTTGCAAATTTTGTCATGGATTTTAAAAAATGTTAATAAAAGCTATCTAACAGAACAAAATAACGTATTTGTAAAACTATTGTTATTAAGTTTTATTTTTAAAAATGTAAAAACAAAATAGTTATTAGACCAGCCATTAGTTATTTATTACTCGATGAATTATTATTACTATTATTAATATTTTAGTCAAACCCAACAAATTATTTTGACATTGGACATCATTAATAAACATTTTTCATTATCAAATCATTTGTTCATTTTTTAAAATCAAATGATAAATAGGACACCTACTATAAATTCTCAATATTTTAACTGAGCAGAAGAATCACTCTAAGGTCCTCGATAGTAACTCTGCGAGCGCATCAATAAATATATCAACTTCTGTTTTCACGTGTCTACTTCCTGGAAATATGTCGAGTTGAGATACTCTTTTTCCTTGCAAACCTGTAAAAAGATTTAACAATACTATATCGGTGAACTTGTTTGCACTATCCATAATCGTACTATTTGCTAGTTTAGAGTTGGAACTCAAGTTTACTTCATTTTAGTGCCTAGTTTTTGTAACTTTGATAATTGCATTTTATCCGTAAGAAGATGAGCTCTATAACTGTTGCAATTCATCCAATCAGATAAAATTATCCATTTGTAACCATTGTAAAATATTCATAAGAGCAATACTATAAGTAATTGGATCTAATATCTTACTCAAAGAATACTTCTTGTGTTAACATTATGTCACTCGGACCGACTTTGAAAAAAAAAATCATTAAACTATTTTCGCCCGGTCGATTGTAGGCTACAAAACCGGAACCTCGACCGGTTCATTCCCGGACCGACGTTGCGTTTAGAAAACGATCGACCCATGCGAGTCAAAGAACAAACCTGACGGAAGGCCGCTGCTTCACGAGGAAGACGAAGATGCTCAGGCCGCTGTTTAGAACGAGCTCTTCGAAGCCCACAGCTCTCAATTTCCTACTTCGTTTCAGTCAATATGTAATTAGTTTCTCAAATTCCATCTCTCTTCTCTTGTTTTTGTTTTTGTAATTTGTGTTGGAATCTCCAGAGGGAGCTGCACAGTAGAAATCGGAAGGCCATGGAGTTGATTGCCAAAGGATGGAGTGCTTTGAAGGAAGTCGACAGGGTTATTGATTATTGTGAGCTCAATGATCGCCGTCTCATCCCGCTTCTTCGGGTAATAGTTTTGAATTCTTTGATGTTTCTGCGTTCTCCCTCAAGGCCCATTGAGTTGGACTTGGAAGACCGTATTTAAGTGTTTGGTGTTCTTGGATTTTCCTTAGAATCATTTGTATTTATAACTTTGTGACAATTTAAAGGAGGTCTCTAGTTCAAACCAGATGTCATTTCTTTCCCAACTAATATGAATAGTCTTGTGTCGCCTGATTTCCAAACATGTAGGAAGTGTTAGGAATGGATTAAAAAGATTAGATATATCCTTTATCAACTCAATCTGAGTTGATAGCTTAAACTTTTGGATTAGTAGTAGTTAAAAAATTTAGTCTTTTGTGTTTAAACAAATAAATGTATGCCATTGTTCAGTAGCTATTGGTATGGTCTTCATTGCTTTGGTTTTGGCTACATTTTCCATGTAGACTAATTTTTTCTGTCAGTGAGATCTCTTACAATGTAGACTTTGTTTCCCTTTCATATTGTATCAGACAGCGAAGGAAAACTTTGAATTGGCTCTTGAAGTTGACAATTCGAATACCCACGCCAGATATTGGTTGTCCAAATTGCATTTGAAGTATCACGTCCCAGGGGGATGTAAAGCTATGTGAGTGAATCTTGTACTTCATTTCTTGACCGAGACGTTCTTTATTTGGGATAATTGCTCTAGTTAGTTTTGCGTTTAAAAAATTATTGCTACAATATTAGCCCCCAAGGGGCAGTCCGGTTGGTAAGGGCTTGGGATCTCTTGGGTATACTGACTTGGAGATTTTAAGTTTAAACCTTCCGGTGAAATCAATACCAAAAACTCTTGATCTCTCTTAGATCTGGACCTTGGGGTGGGTGCGGGTGCCACTAGGTATAGGGGGGAAAAGCTTCGACTTCCAATTACCAAAAGAAATTATTACTGCAATGTTTGTGAGTCAAGTGATGGGTCAGAATATGAAAGAAATGCAGTATGTGAACACTTTCCTTCTGTGTAAAAGAGAATATGCATCTGAATTATTTTTGTCCTGTGTTCTGTTTACTCTCAAGCTTATTTTTTCTAAATTCCATCAGAATTTAAAATCTTCACCATCATTTTTTTTTTTTTTTGCCAGCAAAATATTACAACATCTGCTTTCAGTTGTTCACAGAAAAGGATGAAGTAGTAGACTGATTGATTCATCTTTAAGATTTTTGGAATTTGTTTTGGACCATTGTTGCTATATCTATTACATGGTTGCTGAATTTTGTTGAGGGAAATTTTTACTCTCCTTTTCCTTTCTATCGTACAGAGGAGCTGCGTTGCTGGTTGAAGCAGCAGATATGGGTGATCCAGATGCACAATATGAACTTGGTTCTCGTTTGAGAGTCGAGGTTAGTTAAATTCCGTTTTTTTTTTTCTGTGGTTAGGTTCACACATGAATGATACCTACACATCTGAATGCTAACTCTTAGAGATATCAAGGTTTTTTTTTTTTAAAAAAAAGATAATCCAAAAGATTGAACCCAGTAGCTGGTGGCAATGTCCCCAAGCTCTCAACTAGGGGGCACTTATTATTATTTTTTTAAACGAGAAACAATTTCATTGATATATGAAATTTTTGATACAAAGGGGAGAAACAAGATCCCTATCCATGATAGTTACAAAAACCATCTCCAATTGGATACTAAAGCTTCTATGGATGCACTTTGTTCGAGCCGGTTTTTGGTCTATTTGGATGGAAACGAATCATCAGATTTTTCAAGGAAAAGAACTCCCTTTGATCCTATCTTTGAATCCATTGTCTTTTGGTGCATCTTGGCGTAAATATTTCCTTTGGGGGCACTTATAGTAAGTCATTCAAAGAACTTAAGTTGAAAGAAAATGTAATTGACCATATATAGCTTTCTAGTTCCGTTATAAATTTGTTCACACAAAAACCTTATTAGTTATCCTTATGGAGTTAGTAAAGCTCCTTGAGAGGAACTGATTACGAATAAATATTGTCTTTTGCCTGCTTCTGGTAATCATGTCAGCCAGTGAAGGATTCATTCTCTCGTGCCAGTGCCTGATTAAACATTTTTTTCTATTTATCTTACGTTGGTCAAATGTCTTGTGACAGAATAAATATGTACAGTCAGACCAACAAGCTTTCTATTATCTGGAGAAAGCTGTTGACCAGGTATGATTCCTTACTGCAGGCTCAAAGTGATCATTTTTTCAAATTATGCATCAAACCTTACCTGTTGCAATGTTTTAGCTGCATCCAGGTGCACTTTTTCTTCTGGGTGCAGTATATTTAACTGGAGACTGCGTGAAGCAAGATATTGCATCAGCATTATGGTGTTTCCATCGGGCTTCAGAGAAGGTATTACAATGTCTTCATTTAATCATGCCCTGACACGGGGTTGGAACTACAGAGTCCAGCCTGGTTCCAGGCAAGCACCAGATAGTCACCTCAAGCATCATTTTTCACAATTGCACTTGCACATGTGTCCACCCTCATCGATATATACAATTTTTCCCCTCCAGTTCATACTTTTGGCCTAGTTGCCCTTCTATTCATTCCTTTGGTTCGTAAGTGACATATTTGCCATCTGTTTTATTTCTCTCTTTTAATCTTTTTATTACATCGTTGTTAATCCTTAGCTTCTTAATTGTCTTTGCTGATAAAGATTCCACCTATATATTTCATAACACTAAACATACAAATCTGTTTTCTATTCATCCATATTCTCCCTTTTCCTCCATTTGAGACATTTAGTTAATGATAAATATGTTGTGATAAATTACTTCAAGATTTAGGGCATAGTGGTATAAATTTTTATGATTCCACTGAGAGGGAATTCATAGCATCCTAAAGTCACTTGCATAAAGTTCTCTTTTTGGACATTTGCCCCCAAGTTTCTCGAAGGGCAAATATCTAGGAATGGGCAAGATCCCCCGAGTTGAACCAGGTGAACGTGGAAAGTTTTTAGGCACAAAAAGAATTAGCTACATTTTTAGATGATTTTCCGATTAGCAGTTAGCACATTGTTGTGTGTGCATATGAGGAATGTTCTGCTGCCCAGTAGAAGATTTTTGTTCTAGACAATCTCTTCAACAGGTACAACTTCATGGCTTCTCATGTAATTTTCAGGGTCATGCTGGTGCAGCTATAGCATATGGATCTCTTCTTCTTAAAGGTAAGAATTTTTCAACGTCATTTCACAACACCATGATAAAAAGAAAGAGGAGAAGAATTGAAATTACATCGTGATTTTGATGGAAAGTTGTGGAGTTGGATTGGCAGCTGCATACATTACATGTATTCAAGTTCTCGATGATTTAGTAGATTTCTAATTCTTTTGGCTAAATTTTATAAATTCCCCACTTTATCTTTGCATGTTCTAGGTGTTGAAGTGCCCGAATCTCTAACAAAATTCAGCTTAAAGAATGGTTCTTCAACCAGAAAGGCTAGAAAAAACCCAGATGGTCCAGTAATGAGTCCAGTTGAGATGGCTAGAGAACAGTTTAATGCAGCAGCAATCACAGGGTGTGATCTTGGGCTGAAATGGTTAAATAGACTCGAAGAGGAAGAAAGGAGTTTGTCAACCGAATCCGAATGAAGGCACATTGTTTTTCTCATTGTTAGAAGCACACCAGATAGCGAAAAAGAAAAACACATTCGGCTCCTTAAAGAAGAGTTTCATTCATTTTAGTACATTAACCCTGATTAAGGATATGTAATGGCTGATTCTTTGTGTTAGCGTATATAAGTATCGGATGGATTCTGTTAATAAATATTTTCATATAAGGATGATAGCAAAGGTATTAGGAGCCGGAATAATGTGGTTGACGATTCTTCTACATCAAGAGAGAATTTATAAACAGTATTTTGAATTGGAGCAAATAGATTTCGAACTTACATTCTACAGTTGTTATGGTAGAAACCTCATCAAATAATTTGTCCTTTCACAAAGGTCACTCTAGAAATTTGGAGCTTGTTTTTCGCTCGACACACATTGGAGTTTGTTTGGTAAATAGTTGGGTAATCGATTTATCATGTAAATTGATGTTATATTGTCCACAAATTTCATAATATTGGAAGTAACTTTATTTACTCTATAAAAAAAAAGTGAAAATTTATGCGAAAACGAAAGATAAAAATAGAATATTTTAAATTTGAAAAAAGGAATGAAGGTTATAAAAATATAACTAATATGAGGTTTGAATTCGTTATAAATCAAAATCAGGAATAATTATTTAGAATGAAAAAATATTTAAAAAAAAATGGAAAAGACGGAATGGAAAGAAAAACAAAAACACAAAAGAAAAGGAGAGAAGGGTATTATTGTACTTTCACATACACGTCAAATCAAGAAATGTTATTAGACGAAGTATTCGAACCAAAGCTTATAACTCAGCCTTTGACCTCAGCAACCGAAAAACTAGGGTTTTGAGTTACAGTTTCTTAGGGTTTTTTGCGAGGTTGAGCAGCTCAATGGAAGAAATTGTGGAAGGTGTGAACTCCCTGAATTTGGGTCCCGATGGGTATAAGAAGAATCGGATTCAGGTCTCCAACACCAAGAAACCATTGTTCTTCTATGTCAATCTCGCTAAGGTTTGCTAGTTTCCAATGTTTCGAATCTTCGATTCCCTCGTTCTTCGTACCGGGTTTTGTGTAATTACTTATTGGAAAATATTTTGTTTTCCCTATGATAACTGGTTTCAGTTTAATTATAATGTCCCGTGTTTCTGACTTTTGTTTTCGGTTTTAATTGTAGAGGTACATGCAGCAGCATAATGAGGTCGAACTTTCTGCTCTTGGAATGGGTAATTTTTCTGCATTATCTTTCTGTTCTTGTTCTTTTAACACTACACCTGACTTTAAATCCTAAACCCTAGCAGAAATGGGACCGTGTAATTGTATTTGTAGTTGTATAAAATAGATTTCAGAGTCATAATTTTCATTTGATTTGGAGTCTGCCTTACCTGGCTAGTGCCGAGTTTTGGGATGGTCAGTAAATGAAGTGAAGTAATAGTGTGGATACTTATCTATTTTTAATACGCTCTTAATGGTAGCTTATATATATTCAACCTTCGCCTGAGCAATGGGCAATTCGTTTGTTTCCTTTCTCGTTGCCATTTGACTCTTTCCAATCCTCCATGAATCTGACGACCTTAGTAATTCTCACCTCTACAACCTGGGTGCTATGCCACACTATGTGGATTAACTTCATTGCAAAGTGAATTAATATTTTTGGATGCTGACTGAGAACTTCAGTTCTATTGGAACTAGATAGGCTATGGAATAGAGAATGTTTTGGAAAAGCTTGCAAGATAGTTTCTAATATTATCTTTGTTAATGTCAAGTTTTTGGATGACTAACGTTTGAAAACAAGGCTAACTGGCCGGGCTTTAACAACTTTTGTTTAAGATTTTTGTGGCATTATTCACATTTGATTTTTGGTGCATAAATGAGACTTGCTCTTCAATTTTGTTCATTCGCTGTAACATATTATCCCAGACTCACGGATATGTGTACTTGCAACGTTTTGCAGCAATTGCCACTGTTGTTACTGTTGCCGAAATTTTGAAAAACAATGGATTGGTTGTTGAGAAGAGTAAGGCTTCTGGCTTTTTTCACTTTCAGAAACAAACACTGTTTACTTTTGTTCCTTATAGTGACTTGCATCAAATTTACAGAGATTGCAACTTCAACTGTTGATATCAAGGATGACTCAAGAGGTCGACCTGTCCAAAAGGCCAAGGTAAAGATTACCCTAAAAATAAGATCCTTAATAAGTAAATACTTGATGTATGCAAACTGCGGCATTTACAGGAGAGAGAGTTAAGCCGTGAGCCTTCTTAGTATGTAGGTTCCTTTTTCATTCGGGCATCAAAATAAGTCCAAAGCTAGTCTGCATGTTTTAGTTGGATGGTCTATATTTCCTCTTTATGTTTATTTTTAGTTAGTGTTCCTCTATCACCATTGAACTCAATAAATTATGATATTTTATTTTTCCAAGACCACCTTGAATAATTACTGTAACCTTTGGCCTCAACAGATTGAGATATTGCTGGGTAAAACCGAAAACTTTGACGAATTGATGGCAGCTGCTGCTGAGGAAAGGGGGGACACAGGCGATACTGATGAGCAGAGTTAAAGATGAAATACATTTGATGTATCTTGTCTTTTAGTTACAATTTTTGTTTGTGATGAACCGAATTTTCCATTAATTATTCGTAGCTCTCTAGGTACTCGAGGAGTCGAGGCACTAATTTTCATAGTGAGTTTGTTCATAATTTCATTTTAGGGATCTTCATAATTTATTTGGAGTTTTTCCATATAGAAAGCCATTATTTTTTATTCTGATATTTTGTCTTCCAAGCATTTGTTTTTATTTTCCTTTTGATGAAATTTATTTAACTATATATCCTTGCCCAGATATTAAGGATAGAATATCGAGATTTCAATTATATTGAAATGTAAACATATTAGTATTGAACAAGTTTAGAGAGTAGATTCATCAACATTCAACTGAAATATTTGTATGACATATGGTAATATTGTCAATGGATATAATGTAGCCAAGTTTGTAAGAAAGATCGGACGTGACCAAGTGATTGAATGTTGAATACTCTCTGTATTCCATTTCCACAGCATCAAATAAATAATTTCTTACAATAAAAAAAAATGGGCAGAAAAAAAAATAAAAACTTTAAATTAAAAGTTCAGAGATTTATGATGGGTATAAATTAAATACTCTGTGACCAAGTGATTGAATGTTGAATACTATGTGCATCCTCTCGTAACTCTTCCTATGCTTTATAATGGTTATAAATTAAAAGTTCAGAGATTCTTATTCCTTAATCCTTGGAAGTTAAGATCAGCAATCCTAATGCACCAATCAGTATGTACTGCAATAATAACAAAACAGAGAGTCAGTAAAGAACAAACATTCAAAATTCAAATCCAAAATTTTAGTGCATCATCTTAAAAGTAAACTCTCTTTATTTGGGAAGGAAAAGAAATGAAAAACTGAGAACCATATGCACTCCTAGTTAGTCCTTTAGCTATTCTATTCTGATTCTATATCATCAAATCTTTGCTAGTAAAAATATATTTGCACTAAACTTCTAAATTTCTAAAAATTTCAAACCTTGATTATAGGCTTTTCTGTCATGATAATTGTTGCCCAACCGATATATGGTAAGAAACTGCAGCAAAAAAAAAAACAAAAATATTAAGCTAGAGGTTGCCCTTGTTTGTATCTTTCTAAACAACTGGTACAAATGGAGAATTCTAATTCATGGGATAATATTGACTCGTTTTGTCCAGTTCTTGCAAACTTACCCAACAGCTTTCCCCATGATGTGTTGTCTTTCCAACCAAAGCTGATCCTCAGCATACAGCTGAATGTCATCAAAATGATTATTGTCACCTGAAAATTAGCACACGAGAAACAGTTGAAGCAAATCGTCAAACATTCAGCAAAATCACTTTATTTTAATGGAAAACCATATCCTCCCCTCACAGGTTCTTTGCAGCCACAATTTAAAGTTCAAATACCTTTTGTAAGTATGTAAACTTCTCCTGTATCTCTCCTCTCATGAACCTACCAAGAATAACATTCGATGTAAAACAAGTTGTAGTTACGTCTCACACAACATTGTTGCCAAGAAGTTTAAAAAAAAAATTAACATTTTTCTCTCTTTCATAGTTCAATTTATTTCTCTCTTTCCTAGGTAGGTGGTCACCATGGTTTGAACTCATTCCCTCTAAGTCCTTTGCTATTTATATTGGCCTTAGTTGACCACTTGAGCCATCCCATGATGGTTCTCAACGATTTCATAATTCTAAAATATGGTTGTGTTGGACAAAGACAAACCATATAGTTAAAAACAAATTGCTTTAATGAAACATATGATCTATAAACAAATTGACTGCACTCTAAAGTGTAGCTTAGAGAGAGAAATTCTGCCAAGAAACCTAACCTCGATTACACGATGGACAATTGGAATATCGCGTCCCTAGCAAATGTTACAATGCATATCAGTAGACAATTCACAAACTAGCTATAAACAATGTAGAAATGTACCACATCAGTATCAGTACATGAAAGATGAGAGCAAACTTACCTTGATGTTATACACGACAATCTCCCCTGCACGAATTGGATCATTATTCATGTGGAGGAAAAGAACGTCACCCTACACCAGATAAAACACATATAAGAAAGCTAAATACCAAAATTCAACTTCAACATAAGCTTTCCACATCAGAGCATAGCCACTGATGTATCATCATATATGCTAGTACAGCGAGGTACATTGTGACATAATCAAGTCAAAAGCTAGAATCTGATGTTTAAGAACCATAGTTCATGACAAGTCCTCCACTAAATCCTGGGCACCCAAAGCTAGATCCAAGAGATGATAAGAGTTTTAAGGTAATAAGTTTTCGACCTAAGACTTTATCCATAATTTTAATGACCTGGTTTCCACAATTTCTCTTAGATCAGCCTTATAATTAAAAGGTACTTACAAGTCCCTTCCAGCATATTGATGAAATTCCATATGCTGATTAAATCAAAAGAGAGTTAAAAAGTAATATGATCGTTCAGCAGATACACAACGACTAAACTTTCTAGTTTATAAGCTTACAACTGCATGAATTAGCATGCATTAATTTCTCAAAACCAAAACATCCACAGCCTATATGACCTCCAATTCACAATGTAAACACCAAGAACTAAGGACGGCTTCGATATCATTTGAAAATTTTATTTTCTAAGCATTCCAAAATCCAAATAACCAAAATCGGTTGGATATCACAGTTCAAAATTCAGATTTGTCATCCATTAAGTTCAATCCAAGCTAATATCAAATGCATCGTTAAAAGTTAGAATCAAGCTACTTAAATAATATTTTATATGAAAGCTACTTAAATAATGAATTGGCAATTTAAATATCTTATAGGATAAGCTCACCCTTGCAAAACCAGGTTCCATACTTTCAGAGAGCACAACCACCACAGGTGACTCACTGCTAGCCCAGCACATCAATCCTTTCCAAATCATCAATGCAGATGTAACGATCAAACCTGATGCATTGCGATATTTGTCTTAAAGCAAATAAAAGGCGAAAAATAAATGCAAAAGTGGGATATCAGGACCAAGAAGTTGGAATATAAATATTAAGGCCACATCTAAATCTTCTTCTCCCTTCCTATGTATGTGTTCCTCTTTTGGAGGGTTCTATAGGTATAGATCATATTAAGAATTTAATCCTTGAATTTGGAGGGTCTATAGGTATAGATCAAATTAAGAATTTAATCCTTGAATTTTATCAAACTTTGATGGTCGTGACTTTTTTAATTCTAAAATTTAAAAGTTTCAGTTGCATTGTAATTCTATATAGTCATCCCTATCGGCACTGTCAATTAAATGATAACAGGCCTATACATTGGATATAATACATACGTCGACTGATTTGGTGCAGTGTGGACATAGATGACTGGAGAAAGTAGATAATTGGACAAAATAAAATAGCACCCGCAACCTACCCCCTTTTAAGTCGATCTATTTTATAGATTGCTTTATTTTTGTCTAATTGATTATGTATCTGCTCGTTGTGCCAAATCGTCAAATATTGGTCCGAAATTCATATCATATCATCAAGTTCCCGTTATCCTTTACTTAATGGTGCTAACACGATTATATAATATCACAATCTACAATTTGGATACGAACTTGTAACTTTTTGAAGTTTAGAAACTAAATAGGCCAAAACTTATGAACTAAATTTGTAATAGAATCGCTGCAACTGTTGCAAGGCGAGGGGAAAGGACATAATAATAAGAATTAAAGTGTCTAAAGAGAAAGGAGCTGAAGACGCTGAACATTTGCAGAGGAACATTGCCTTAAAGAAGAAAAAGAAGTATAACATTGCCTACGAAATAGCATCCATAAACAGTGTTAAAAAAGAGAGAAAAAAAAAATACCAACTCGATTCAGCAAGAATATGAAAAGTTTTCCCACAGCATATTCATTTGATATATGACAAAATTTGAACGAAATGTCAAAGATTCAATTTACGTACCAAAAGTGACGATCTGAGATAGAGCCTGTCTGGTTTTAATGGATTTGAAAGACTCGACGGTCTCCCCAATCCAACCCATGTTTGCTTCTCTGTTTCTCTGTGTGGTTTTGAGAGCTATGAAGTGGGGTTTAGCGATCAATGGAAATGGAATTGGGTTCTCTAAAAATGACTGAAAATTTCTCGCTATTCAATAGACATGGAAACTGGGTTCCCTAAATGACTGAAAATTTCTCGCTAATCAATGGAAATGGAATTGGGTTCCCTAAAAATTACTAGAAATTTCTCGCTATTCAATGGAAATGGAAATGGGCTCCCTAAAAATGACTGAAACGTTTCTCGCTATTCAATGGAACTGCTGGAAAATGGGGTTTTATTTTGATGAAGTTCTCAAAACTCTCACTTCTCACGGGTCTACTCACAGCGGTCCGAGTTAGCATGGCTCCTCGATTTTAATTGGTTCCGATGATCAAGCTGGGCCCACCTCATGGACAGCAAATTTCTTTTCTTTACTCATTATTACACTAAAAACAAAGGAATTACCATTTTTTTTTCTAAATTGTCTCTTTTTTACTTTATTTAAAATTTGTTAGTCGAATAGTGCTCAATATAATTGTTAAAATTGAATAAATGAGTTGTAATATATGGTTTTTTTTTTTAAGGATTGTTGGAGGATATTCATCGTCTGCCCCGTGTAGACATTTTGGAGGTATTTTTTATTACGACAAGTAATAATTATCATCAAGTTTCTCTAATTCGATATATGTCATTCAAGTTGAGCTATTAATTAAGCTTATCCAATTAATGTACTTGAAGATATCCACATGGGTGTCCACGATGCACCACTCCGATAACACGCCGCGTTTCACGGGTGGTTGGATGACTGTTTTGCTATTGTCTAAAGCCCTATCGAAGATTATTCCTATAAATACGGATGTCTACCTCTTTTACAAGGTACACGAATCCATTTATGTTTAATGCTTATATCAGATTGTGACTGACTTGCTTGCCAGATTGCTAACATTGTCTTGCAGGTTCCACAAGAGAGTGAGAGAGATCATCCCAGGTGTTCCAATCTATGTGGATTCCAAGCTTGGTCAATTTATGGATAAAACAAGCATAGTTATAATTTGTGATTTAAAACTATACAAATTGAGATGGTATTTTCAATGTTTAAACATCCACGTTGCTCTACTTAATTTAAATATTAGGTAATGTTGAATTTAATTCTTCATCAGAAATGACGAGGTAGATCTGTAAATAGCGTCTAAAATATATTCGTGGGTTAAAAATAATATTTAAAATATCATTCAATCTTAATGATACTATTAAATTTTTAGTTGAAAATTTTCAATACCACGAAGATAACATCAAAACTTCTAGAAGGCGAAATTAAAAAGTATCATAAATTTCAAACCCAATTAGAAGTCCCCAAACCTAAAATTTAATTCACACTTTAATTTATAAAATAAAGTTGACATAAAATGAAAAAAAAATACAATTATCTTCGGCTGGAGTGGGTTCAAAAAGTTGGGATCATGATCCAAGCCCATTGGTTGGACCGGGCTTGCTTTTTAGGTATATCGGCCTCGGCCCATTAATAGTTCCGGGCCGAGGTTGGATGACCTCGATTCTTCTCCATATCTTCCATATACATATATCGTAGAGAATTTAGCAGTAGTTCTTAAACCCTAAATTTTTTCCTTCAAATTTTGCTGCCATTGCATTAAACCCTAATTTTCCTCTTCGATCCAAAATGGTACTGTATCTTCGTTACGCATGCGCGTAGGAGATTGATTTGTTTGAAAACTTGTTCTGATTTCGGTTTCATTCTTTTGCATGATTTTTTATGGTTGCTGCGTTTTTTTTTTCTGGCAGACAGGAGAGGCGGTGAATCCCAAAGCCTATCCTTTGGCCGATTCGCAGCTTACGATTACCATACTTGATCTTGTTCAGCAAGCTGCTAACTACAAGCAGCTCAAGAAGGGTGCGAATGAAGGTATTCGGTTTGTCGTGTGTTGGTGTCTCTCATTTGAAGAAAGTTTTTGTTTTTGAAAAAGAACTGACTGTGGTTTTTGTATGGTGTTTTTTATTTCCTTTGGCTAATAGTCATCTATTGATGGAATTTCAGCCACTAAGACGCTGAATAGAGGGATTTCTGAGTTTGTAGTGATGGCTGCGGACACTGAGCCGCTTGAGATTCTTCTTCATCTTCCCTTGCTGGCTGAGGATAAGGTAAAACCTTTTTTTTTTTTTTGTAACTGTGGATTGAAAATCGTGGTTTTTTGCTGTTACTTGTTAAGACGAAGAGTTCGGCCAATGAAAGAATGAGCATGTTTAAGGATTCCAATATCTCCCCTGCCTTTTATTTTACTCTTTTTATTGACTTGCGAAATATTGGTGCTCCATATTTTAAAAAAATGTTAGGATTTAGCTTTTATTTAGACGTAATAGTTAGAAGCACTTTCTCTTTTTGTTCCTTTCTTAAGGATGCTTTGATGCATTGTTCTATGCAGCTTTAGTTATCGCTTTAGCTTTAAATGCATTCCATGTTTTTTTTTAAATGAAAATCTAATATGATTAGGAATAATTGGAATAAATTAGTAGAAGGGCTTCCAAATTATCGTTATTTATTTTAGCATATAAGAGGATTAAGTCGAAGTGGTAGCTGACAAGCTCTCATAATGGTCTCATAATCTCATATTGCCGTGCTTATTGACTATTTTTAAGATAGAGTAAAGCCACAATATCAGTTATGTTCCTTCATTCTTTCTCTCTGGTTAATTCAAGGCACCGTTCCCTATATTTCAAATTTTCTATTTGCCTTATTTTTCAGTTATACGTTTCTTCAGATGCTTGATCCTACAATGTAGAAAATGAAATTTTCCCTTTAACCTTGCCATGGAGTCTCATTTTGGATAGAGTTAGACGAACCAGGTGGCGATTCTTGAATTATATCTTTTGTTTATAACAGTAATTGGGGGAAAGTGTTTCTTTCTTCCATGTTTTATAGGCAGATATTTGATCATATACAGTCCTTATAAGAACCTTGTACTAGGAAGATTTCCTTTCCGGCCTTCAGTATTATTATGTCGTGTCTGTGAAATAATAATCGGTGCTTAATGCTCAGTGATATATAATCTTTTTTATTTTCAAATATCCAGAATGTCCCCTATGTATTTGTCCCTTCAAAGCAAGCTCTTGGCCGAGCATGTGGGGTCACGAGACCGGTAATTGCATGTTCTGTAACAACAAACGAGGGTAGCCAATTGAAATCCCAGATACAGCAACTGAAGGTAATTACCACCACCTCTTACTTATGTTGTATTATCTTTGTAAAGTACATATCTCCTCTCTTGATACAGTGTCTTTCCTTCTAAATACAGGATGCCATTGAGAAGCTGTTGATCTGAAATGTTATTCTATATGGCATTCGGTATGATGGGCTTCTTTGATCGTCATGGTCGCTGTTCTAGAGGCTTTGACTGAAGTTGTTGTGCAATTAGGAAAAGTGTCTTGGTATTAACCTATATATTGAGCTTTTTTTTCCCATTTTGTTTCCATTTAGAGTGGGACAAAACACTCGTACAATTTTAATGACAGTTTAAGCTAATATTACCACCGCTATCCTTGTGAGTTTGAGTTTACTGTTGAAGATGTTCATGGTTCGTGAAGCATGGCTTGGTCATAACATCTCTTTTCTTTTTTGCACCATAATTGATGAAATACTATAGATGTGAAAAGAAAGTTCAATGATCGACTAGTCACACATCATGAAAAAAGATCACTAGCTCACTTACGACTAAAGAACCTTCTACTCTCTACTCATTTATGTTAATAGGATTTATTATGTTTTAAACAGTAGATATCTCCATTCAGATAAATCAATAATCTTGCACTAGATACATATTTTCATCAGTATCTTCTATTTGGGATGTAAGATAGGTTCAATCTAGTTGTTTTGACAGGAGGTGGGTTATGAACCTCTAACCCTTTGTGGTTGGGGATATATTCATGTCTTTAACTAGTTGAGCTGGCAGGTGTGACTTATATATTGGTGTTGACATGAATGTATGGTAAGGTATAACTTATGCTTGAAAAATATTATGTGGAAGCTGGTTCATGCTATCAAATTTTGGTTTCTTTCATCACTTCATAATTTAACTCTTGAAAATTTTGGACATAGAAGAATTCATTCTGCGGTTGAATCAATGAAATTAAAGGGAAGCCTTAGCTGGACTGAAATTTTAGTGGAAACTGAAAGGCAAACAAGGGAATTAAGAAGTGTCCCTGATTTGATTGTCTGGTTATGGACTTTTATCCAATTCTTTCACGTTAGATGTTGCTCCAATGACATGAAACTGTACAACGTTTCCTTTTTTTCTGGTCTGATGATAATGGAGAAAGTGCAGAGCACATTCAAAAGATAAAATATTACACTGCTAGCTAAAATATGGCCTTTTAGCTGGATTTTTTTTTTTTGTCTGTAGCTTTTCACTTCTTCAAATAATTGCGAATTAGATTTATATTACTCTAGTTTTTCTTTCCCCCATCTTTTGAGTAATTTTTGGGTCGAAGCTTACTACCAGTTTTGCGTCAAATTTCCAACATGAAATTGCATACGGGAACTTGGTCAGAGGTGAGAAAATTAAGTTTTTACGTAAGGGGGTGAAAATTTGACATCAATCAAGAAAAAATATAGAAGAATATATTTTTAGTTGTACTCCGTAATTTTTAGTTCAACACGTGAGATGGAGATTTGAATCCCATCTTATGCCCTAACTAGAGATCATAACCTTAATTAAATTTTAATGGAACTGACTGTAGTTTATAATAGGTCTCACAAGTACCAACTCAATTTTAAATTGGAGTAAAAAAACCATGAAAAATGGATAATGATTTTTTCTTATCTATCAATTCAATATATGTCCCAAAAAAGCTCTTCATTAATCTAGAATCAATCAAAGGAAGAAATTACCATACCATTTTTCTAATGCACATTGTCTGGTAGCCAGAAAGACAAGTTCTTCAACATCCAAATCTCCACTCCTTTGTGAGAAATTATATTTTCACAAGATAGGGTTCAAAAAAACATCAGCAGTTTAAATTTATGAATTTGTCTTAAAGAAATTGAGCTCTTTGTTTGGGAAGGGATCCTAATCCAAGTAACATGTTGTGTTTGGAAATAATTCCAACATTCACATGACCCTACATATTTCTCATCATAGAAAGTTCCACCTGTATCCATATTTATCTCCTCAGATATAAAGCTTTTTAGGCGTATAACAATAAATGATAAAAATATCTTCAATATGCAATATAGTATTTGAAAACACAGATTTTAGAAACCTAGGTTTCCCAACCCCAAGTTTCATAAACACAACTGTTATTAAAACAATGAACGAAACGTCCCCTTGATGACAAGCTAACTCGAGATTACGCTGTTTTGACTTAAACCACAGAGACTAAATATAAGCATTTTCTAAACCTAGTGAACTAAAACAATCAAAGAAAGATAATGTCCCTTTTCTTCATATGTGCATCAGTAAATCAACATTTCCCATGGGCATTAAATACTTGGAGGTAATACTATCCTACCACACTCATTACAGACCGCATGATCTATAGTTATATTCAGATCATTTGAGTGCCACTCTCACTTGCCCCTATTGAAGGTTTCTTATTTTTATTTGGAAGAGCAAGACAACAGAAGAAGAAGCGCAGGATGGCTTTGGGTAGTGAGTGGGGTAGCAAAAGCACTCACGGGAAGGCTTTGAGTGTCGTGGATCACAATCTCCAAAATCAAACCCCATCTTACCAGCTAGAACGGAGAGATAAAGCTATTGGTTTTGGGTCTTTAAGATTCTCATTGTCGTGTCGTCTAGTCCTTGCAATCAATCTCTTCTTTCCACATTCCCCTTCAATTATCATTCTTATAAGTAACAAAGTTTAAACGAGCAATATGATGAACCTGACCTTCAACTTTATCATGGTCAAATGTGATCTGTCTCCATCTTGTAATGAAGGCTCGCAATTTAGTATTTATCTAATTTGCTAAAGGCTATCTATAAAACGGGAAGTTCCTTCCCACCAATGCATAAACAGACGAGTTGGAGATCAGCACAAGGCTTACTCTCTTCTCTTTTGAAGCTTGAACAATGGTTAGATTTTTTCAGTTCATTGTAGTATTCAAATAGGACCAATGTGATGATTCCAATGTTTCTTTATACGAAGTAACCATTTCAATGCCTACAGGATGAAAAGCAGAGTTTGACAGTTACTGATGCTGTGGATTACAAAGGTTGTCCAGCAAGCCGGTCTAAAACTGGTGGTTGGGTCCCTGCTGCTCTTATTCTAGGTCTGCATTTTGTCTTATCTATCTGATTCATCCCTCCCGCTTGAAGTTTTTCTGGGAACTGAAACCAGAACCAACTTCAAGCATGTGAAGTAAACCAGAAACATGTTGTTTCTGTATCTCACTGAAAAAACAATCTATCTAGTTTGGATTCAACGTTGTCTCAACTGAAATAATATAGCTAATTTGAGCCATAGAACACGGTCTCATAAAACCGTGTAATTTTACCCATCGATTCCTGCTCATTAAAACATAGAGTCGAATAAGCATATCTTGAGTTGGCCCCAAATCCAAATTTGATCTCCTTCCATACTCCACAAGTAGCAGTTTTGATCGAAAACTCAGTCTAATTTATTTCGTACCTTTCACTCATTGTCAAAACAACCATTCAGAGTTCCTAGAGCTCTTTGTAAGGCTTGTTGGAAAACCTTTTGTCGCGAGTTGGGAGAGGAGTTTGATCGAGTTTCGTATTCAATGTAACTATTAGTAACAGCTACATTTGCAGGTTCCGAGTCCCACATGGTGGTTTATGAGATGGTTTTAAAGGATGAACCATGATGGTCAAATTTCATTAAGAAAAAATGTAAATCTTAATCATGGAGGATTCAGGACAGGCTTTTAAAGTTCTATGAAGTTTAGGTTGGTATACATCTTTAGCACATTCAGATTCAGAATCTGTTCAGTCTCAGTTTAGATCAATATTTTTCCACCTCTTGAAGTTAGAGGAAGGGACCCTAAAGAGCTAGCAAAGCCATAACCAACTTCAAATAGTTGTCTATGCCATTAGTCAGATAGCTGAGAATGGGCAAAAGACAAATATTCTAGCTGGATCCTTCAATCATATTTTAATGCCCATCATGTGTTTTACAATTATACTCCACTTTCTGTAAAAGAAATAATATTCTATTCCTGCTCACATTCCTTAGCTGCACAAAAAGTTTCCTTTAGTATGAAATTTTGTCCATCTTGTTTCTCCAATTGGACTCAGAAACAAATCACAACGGTACAAAAATAAAATCATTGAAGAGATCGGATGGAGTTTTGGAGAGTTTTGCTACAGAATGAATATGAATCAAACTCATTAAATCTTGGACAGGGATTGAACTATGTGAAAGGCTTTCAACAATGGGTATAGCTGTCAATCTGGTGACTTACTTGGTGGGAACATTGCATCTGCCTAGTGCAGCTTCAGCCAACATCGTCACAGATTTCATGGGCACAAGCTTTCTCCTTTGCTTGCTTGGAGGTTTTCTGGCAGATTCTTTCCTTGGAAGATACAAGACAATAGCAATCTTTGCCTCAATACAGACACTGGTGATCACAGATTTTCTTTTGTCAAGTTGACATATGACAATCTTATCTTTTCGTTTCATAACTAGAACATAATTGCTATTATGAATAGGGAACTGGAACTCTAGCCGTAATAACAAAGCTACAACAACTACATCCACCTCCTTGTGACCCTAATGCCAGCAAGAAGTGCAAACAAGCCAATGGGTTCCAAATGGGAATGCTCTATCTGCCTCTCTATCTAATTGCTTTAGGAACTGGGGGAATCAAATCCAGTGTTTCGGGATTTGGAACCGACCAATTTGATGAGAAAGATGACAAGGAGAAGGCTCAAATGGCATATTTCTTCAACAGATTCTTTTTGTTTGTCAGCAGTGGGACTTTGTTAGCAGTGACAGTGCTTGTTTACTTGCAAGATGAAGTGGGTCGCAGTTGGGGTTATGGAATTTGTTCTGTTTCAATGTTCACAGCAATTTTGTCATTCCTGCGTGGTACTAAGAGATACAGATACAAGAAAAGCATGGGAAGTCCAATAGTTCATATCTCCCAGGTCATTGTTGCAGCAATAAACAAGAGGAAGATGGCACTTCCATTCAATGATGCTTTGCTATATGAAGATTCTGCTGCAACATCGAGAATCGATCACACAAATCAATTCCGGTGAGTGATTTTTGGCATAAGAAAAAACTTGAGATTAGATCATGTCTGTGTATGCACACATTGAAATAATGTTTACACACACGTCTAAACTGTTTAGAAAATAGAATTCCTAAATTTTCTAGTCTACTTTTATCCAAATTTTCCAAAATAAAAAATTGATGTTATAAATGTGTTTGTGCTAATTCTGCGACAACATTTAACAAGCTCCTGGTTTTGAAAAGAGGTAACTTCCTGTAAATCAAAATTTGGACAAGGGTGATAGTTTTTTGCAGGCTCCTAATTTGTTTTACTTTCTGATAGTTTTCTGGACAAGGCTGCAATTTTTGCAGAGGGAGATTTTGAGAAATCTGTAAACTCTGCTCCCAATCCCTGGAAGCTCTGCTCAGTAACAAGGGTAGAGGAGGTGAAGATGATGATGAGGCTGCTACCAATATGGGCCACAACCATAATCTTCTGGACTGCATACGCCCAGATGATCACTTTCTCAGTCGAGCAGGCATCCACCATGGAAAGATCATTTGGTGCTTTCCAAATTCCCGCCGGCTCTCTTACTGTTTTCTTTGTGACAGCCATACTGATCACACTGGCTCTGTATGATCGTCTCATCATGCCTCTTTGGAGAAAATGGAAAGGAAAACCAGGTAAATACGGAACCTTCAAACTATTCTTCATTCCTGTTCTCTAAATTAACTTGGAGAAAAAAATATACCTTCATCTCTATTTCTGACCATGTCCCTAGTCAAACTGGGATTCCTCTCATTTAGGTTGGGTTACTGTCAGAAATTGTCATCTCTGAAGTTTTTCAGGATAATTTATTTGTATGAGGGCATAAATGAAACGTTTTGTGACTGTTAGTGGGAAACATTTTGAAATAAAGGTAATTTTGAGAAGAATACAAATAATAATTCTTTCATCATGCAAAAAAGACTCTTTGGTTTTACTTTAACAGAGCTTTCATTTGGTCACTTTGGAACTACAGAAATTACAGAATTATAAAAATGTGATAAAATTATGGACTTTGAATAAAATTTCAAAACTTTTATGAATGGTTACAAAGAACCTGCGTATTTGAGAACACAAACTAATCTTCAAAGACTAAGGGTGTCTATCTATATGAACTAAAGAAGCAACATATCAGCCTGCTTTAAGTTTATAAAACAGTTTACCACCGATTAGAATCTTGCAAAAACATGATTCATCTTCATCCATCTCTATTACAGGTTTTACAAACCTACAGAGGATTGCCATAGGCCTTATCCTGTCAACTTTGGGAATGGCAGCTGCAGCTTTAGCCGAGACAAAGCGACTCTCGGTGGCTAAAGCTGTGGGTAGATCCACTGCAACTTTGCCTTTAAGTGTGTTCCTATTGATCCCTCAGTTCTTCTTGGTGGGCTCTGGAGAAGCTTTCATCTATACTGGACAGCTTGATTTTTTCATAACACAATCCCCAAAGGGAATGAAAACTGTGAGCACTGGTCTCTTCCTCACAACTTTATCACTTGGGTTTTTTGTTAGTAGTTTCTTGGTTGCAGTTGTGAAGAGGGTGACTGGAAGCAAGGATGGACAAGGATGGCTTGCAGACAACATAAATTATGCTAGGCTCGACTGTTTCTATGGACTTCTCACCATATTAAGTGCTATAAATTTTGTAGTATTTTTAGTCTGTGCAATATGGTATAAGCCACAGAAACCCAAACAACTTCTGGAGATGCCAACTAGTACAAATGAGGGGTCTGTGGCTGAGAAATGCTAGTAAACCAGCTATATTTTGGGTTTGTTTATTTTTTATCTTGTATTCCACATAAATTCGGAGAGTAGATTAATAAGGATGAGCAAAATAACGGTGGGGCATTAATGAGTACTCTAAATTGACAAAGGACCGTTTTACAATGCAGATATAAATTCCAATAGCTACTCTAATGTTGAATTTGCTAGGTGCTGAACTCTTGATTGCTCTTAAATCCCGCAAAATAAAAATAAAGAAAGAAAAAACAAAATAGGGGTTCAAAACTGCAGTAGGAAAGCCAGTAAAACTGGCAAATTAAAGTTCTCTGTCAGTTGGCAGAAAACTGAAGACCAAATTAATCGATAGACATGTAACCTCCTCCCCTTGAGACGCTTGTAAATCCCCTCCTCCCTTAAATGTCCTTATATTGTCAATATACATATTATTTAAACACAACTGTGACATATATGAACTTCACAAATTGCAGTCAATATCAGCTTCTGCTGGAAATGGGTATCTAACCAAAACGAAAAGAAGATCATAAATAACAGTAGATATTAGTTAAACGTACTGGACAGCTTCCTCCTGGAAGCTCAGTCCCATAAACATCCACAGCAATTCATTCTCCGGTCATAGAGATATATTCTGTACTACAACATTAGGCAGCTAAAATAACCCCAAAACCCCACAATAAATAGATGAACCCAAAAAAATAATATATCTAAGAACACATACCTAATTCAAAACTCCAAAATTTAGCCGAGATATGAATTCGATTTTTGCAGCTTCTTTTAAACGTCGTCGATCTGTTCTCTTCTGCATGTCTCCTCGTAAAAGCTCAAAGATGTCATTAGCCTAATCTTGACTATCATTCTTCCTTTCATTCCCTTCTTCTCTCTCCTCCAACAACCTACCAGCTTCCTCGTCAGCCTGCTGAGCCTTTTTCTGACCCTCCGAGGCTTTAAGTACCTGCAACTTGGAATGATTGTAATATGCAACTCCTAAGAAGGCAAGCCCGTAACCGAACAAATTAATGGGTGTTACTGTATCCTTGATCACAGACCAGGAGAATGCGATCAACAACCAATCCTTCACTACTCCGGCAACATTCATTGTCAAAGCAGACGTTTTACCGACCAGTAAAAACACCGCAAGATTCAAAGCGAAAGCACAGAACGAATTGGTACCAAAAATCACGAAATCCAAATGGAAGCTCGAATTATCCCGCAACAAGGGGTATTCCATTATTAACCACGGAACAGATAAGAAAACCAAGCAACACGGAGCCACGTAGTAAAGCGACGTGATGGGATTCAGCGAGATACCCTTGGAATTCAATAAAATCTGGATCATCACCAATCGGGTTGCCTCGAACGCGACCGCCAACAGCTGCAAAGTTACACCCTTCGAGTTGAATTGCGCCTCTCCATACGCAGCAACCGCAACACCAAGCGAGATCGAGACCATGTTGGCCATAGTATCCGATTTAAACTTCTCCTTCTTGAGCGTAACACCGATCGAGTACACAGCGACAGGCATCAAGGCCTTGAGCATCTGTATAAAAGAAACTGATAGATAGATATATGCCGAATTAGAAAACCAGAGGGAAAGCGAATATAGAGCTCCGATGGGAACCACGGATTTGAGGTAGAGCTCGCGGGACATGGAAACCGGCTCAACAGCTTTGAAAACGCTGACGAGAAGGTAAGCGATCGAGGAACAGAAGGCCATATGGATCATGGTGAGGGAGATCGGGAACGGCCAATTGTACATCTTCTGATCCAGAATGTACTTGTTGTAGACGATGACGGAGAAGCTGAGGAAGATCCATATCGCAACGTACGCATACGAAAGGAGAACTTTCTTCAGAACATTCTCGGAGATGGCTCCGCCTTTCCCCATTTCCGACCAAACTGAAGATCCCAGATCGAAAACTGAAAACCGAACTTGAGGAAGAAAATGGTGAAACTCGGATGATTTTGAGGAGAACGGGAGGATGGATTGGGTTGGGCCGGACAAAAGGATGGTTACGGGCCGAGTTAATGGGCTTCGTTTTGTTTTTTGTTCTTCGTTTGAACTCGATACTTGGCCTGCTGAAGCCCATATCTGAGAAGTTGTGAATGTAAGCCCCATGTCTTCGACAAAAGTCTATTTATATAGAATAATTGTGATAAATAAGTGTCGTCACGAGTTAAGCTGGGTTTTAGTTAGCATTAAAAAACACATCTGATTACTATAATTTCGTTAAAGTACTGATCTAGTCCCTAAACGTTAGTTTCTAACGATTTAGTTTACAAATTTTCTTTCAAATCTATAACAATTTAGTCTTTATAGTTTAAACTTTATAATAATTTAGTCTCTACCGTAAAATGTTTTATCAAAATAAAGTGTCAATTTTTATCATATAACAATTTTGTCATTGTAATTTATAATACATTTTGTCTCTCTTTAGCTTAATCGATCTACCTAAAAAATGAAAAAAAACCAAACTCTTAATTATACGGATTAGATTGTCACAAATTTTCAACTACAATGACTAAATTGTTGCATATATTAAAGTTCGATGACTAAACTGTTACCAAATTTGAAATCCCATAAACTAAATCATGATAAATTAAAGTTGAGATACCAAATTGTTAGTTCAAGTATAGGTACCAAAATTTGTGTTTGAACAACATAATATAAAGTATACTAATAACTTACAATTACATTATTTTTAAACAATCACTAGACGATTATCCAATCCGACGAACGCATTCGAATTTATACGTCACGTCAATATTTTTAAAAACAATTTACAAGTCGTAAGAAATATCTGAATTTATTATGTTAGATAGCAAAGTAAAATAAAAGCTTAATGTGAAATTGGGACTTTATGATATAAAAAGTTGCCGACAAAAGGCAGGTGAGAAGTTTTCAGCATATCACTTCACTAATAGAGATCAGTTAACATGATAAAAGTGTTGCTCACCTAACCAATCAAGCTAGCAATCGACAACAATTGATTCTAACACCTTTTCATATGTCATGCTAAATTGTTTAAAGTTGTAAAGATTAAAATGGAAATTCAAACTAATTAATGATCTACCTTAGCTAATGTCGGGGTTATTTAAATTTAGTATAATTGTAACATTACCTTTACAATAATACAATTATTTATTTTAAAAGTCACAATATATATATATATTTAAAAAGTCACAAATGCATCTAAAAATTTATTTTTATATAATTTGACCACAAATATACAGTGAGGAAAAAAAACTAGTAAAAAATGTTAAATATCTTTTCATTGAGAGATTAAACATAAAATTTAAATTAGAGAAACAAAATTAGATTAAAAATATCAGAAAAATAAAAGTAAAAAAAAAACACTTTAAAAAAGCACATACATATACATATACAAAAATTGGTAATTTTATGGTGGGAAATTATTGGATCTGATTAAATATACTAAAAAAGGCCATAATTTGATGAAAATTAATGAAATCAAATAAAAATTACCTAAATAAACCTCTCCTTCATCCCGGAGCCACAGGAAGAAAAAATGGCGGAGGTGAATTCTTAGGTGTGGCCCAAATGGCCGCAGAATCTAAAGACCAACAAAACATTCACTAATTACTCGCCATTGTACAGTTTCTTTAATTCTCTCTCTCTACCTGTCATCTCTCCTTTTCCACTCTTCAGTGCCATGCCCACCAATGCTAATTATTACCTCAAAACCCACCAATCCACTTGCGAATCTCCGTTTTCTACCAATCCTCCGGCGCAGTTCGTTTCCTTGCAAATTTCTGACCGACCCTTGTACAGTTTTCTTCTGATTATCCTGCCATTTTTGTTGTTTTTCTGCTTCTCGAGCTCTGTTAATGGAGACGAACAGTAAGTTTCAGAAGAAGAGGAAATGGTTTCTTCCCTTGGTGTTTTCTCTGCTTTTGACAGCTTTGGTAGTTTTCATCACGGTTTTCACTTCGCCCCATTTCTTCTCTTCCCAACTCTACCGCAACCGTCTCAAAAATCGGATTCCCCACTTCGTTGAATCGAAGCTAACGGTATCGGAAGCTTCCGGCGATCCAGTTCCTCGCCTGGCATACTTGATCTCCGGCTCCACGGGCGACGGCAAGAGCTTGAAGAGAGCTCTGAAAGCTCTGTACCATCCGAGGAATCAGTACGCGGTGCATTTGGATTTGGAGGCGCCGGTGGCGGAGCGGCTGGAGTTGGCTGATTTTGTGAAGAACGAGCCGGTGTTTAAGAGCGTGGGGAATGTGAGGATGGTTTCGAGGGCGAATTTGGTTACCTATAGAGGGCCAACGATGGTCAGCAATACGCTTCACGCGGCTGCGATTCTGTTGAAGGAAGGCGGCGACTGGGACTGGTTTATTAATCTCAGTGCTTCCGATTACCCTCTGGTCACTCAAGATGGTATTTATTGATTGTTTAGTCTAATTAGTAAACTTCAGAATTCGTTTCTAGCATTCTGATTTCTTTATATGTTATTCCATAATGCTTCCGTTACTTCTTCTTCTTAATCATCATTGTTTTCTTGTTTTTAATTATGGTGGCTGCAACTGGATCATTTCTTCTTCTCCGAAAGAGATGAGGATTGGGATTTGGGCATTTTGACATATTCTGTTTTTTGGCTCAGTTCCAGTTTGTTTCTTCTGGTTTTCTGTTGTTCACGTTCTGAGTTTTCAGCTGATTTGATCATTTTAATCAATCTATAGTTATGGGGGTGTTTAGATTATGGTTATAGTAAGCACGAGATTGATAAGTTTGGATTTGTGTAATTCGTGTTTGAATTACCAGATTTAGAATTTGGGTTTGTATAACTTTGTGCTGTAGGATTTGTCAGAGTTTATGCAATGTAAAAGGTTGGTTTCATATGTTTTAAATTTATATGTAGGATGTGGATTATTAATACAGACTCAGGTTGACTTTGAGTTATACAACTATAATCCATGAGTCAAAAGTATTTACTTGTTTAGGGTGGAAAATTGTGAAGTTTGACTAAATTAGCTTAAACTGCACTTTTGTTTGTTGAACCTATTAATTCTCAGTTTCTGTTTTCTACCCTTTTCCTTCCTTTGATGTGTGAAAGTTTATTACAGTTCATCATTTATACTAGTGGAATATCAATGGTTTGTTAATCATCCACATAACACTTCACTAAAGATTTCACTGGAAACTAACTGTTAGCCATGAAAGATAGCTCAAAGACGAAAATGAAAAAAGATAATTAATTACAAAGACTAGCACATTAGCTTCTCCCTATCTTTCCTCCATGTTTTCGTCTGTTGGAGGGAGAGTGGAGCGGGTTTTTTCTTCTTCTTCTTCGGGAGGCTTTGCCCATCCAATACCAGATTTGAGAGATAACAAAGGTTTAATAAGGCTCCATTTGGTAACGATTTCGATTTTAATTTTCTGGATTTGAAAATCATGCTTCTTTGCTCACCCTTTCTTTTGTATGTTTTGATCAATCTTAAAAATACATTTTAGCTCTTAGTCAAAATTTAAAAACAAAAACAAAATTTTAAAACTACTCTATTAGTTCAAATTTTAGCTTAACTTTTGACAATAGTTTAAAAAAGTAGATGCAAAATAAAGAAATACATTGTGGAAGTAGTGTTTACAAGTTTAATTTTAAAAAACAGAAAACCAAAAATAAAATCTAAACAGGGTCAAAGTTTTCAACTGGAAGGCATGAGCCTAGTATCTTGGAAGGTATCTTGGGGTTTTGAACATTTATATTTGAGACCCAACCCACAAAAAGAAAAAAAGTAGGTTGGTAAGAATCTTCAATAATTGGTTGCCACATTATTTCAAATTTTGCTTACAACCTAAGACATTTGTCTAATGTTTGTTGGGTCTGATTGAGAAGTTTAATCTAGTTTCCTTCGCCTCCACTTCTGATCAGTATATCTTGAAGAAAGGGAAGTTTACAATTAGTTTTCTGATGCAAAGTTCTTTGTTTGCTTTCTTTTATACTACAGATCTGCTTCATTCTCTGATATCCATTCCAAGAAATCTGAACTTCATTGAACATACCAGTGACATTGGATGGAAGGAGTAAGCGCTTTTTCTTCTACAGAAATTTTAAGTTTTCATTCAATTGAGTAGCTGGAGGTCCTGTTTGATAAAAAAATCGTTTCCAATTTAATAATTTTCAATGTTTAAACAGAATGTTGATAAATTATAGATTTAAAAGAAACAGTTGGGAAGCAACCATAATTTAGCAAAAACAAAATCAAAATAAAACGATTATCAAGCCAATCTCAAGTTTTTTTAGGTCATAATAATATGCGTAGAGATGTAAATGTGAATTCTTTTGATCTCTCAGGTACCAGAGAGCCAAACCGGTTATAATTGATCCGGGTTTGTATAGCCTCCATAAATCAGATGTTTTTTGGGTCTCGGAGAAACGGAGCGTTCCAACAGCTTATAAACTGTTCACAGGTGAGCCACGGCCACGGCCACCCCCCCCCCCAATGCATGTCATCTCTTCCATTTCTCTCTAACTTTTTGCTTTCTAGTTCTGTTGAAAATCCAAGAATATACAACAATAAAATTCAGTTCACTAACTAAATTGATCTAAGAGTGCTTCCATTGATGATGCTGGTAAGCAAGTATTTTGCAACTCTATCCCCATCTAAGTTACCATAAGATTTAGAGTACATGTAAGACATGAATCATATTTCAGTCTTTAAACTATCATGCGCTTATTCCTTGTTTAACAGAAATCCAACATAAGCACACATTTTTTCGTTCATCTACCTCTAGTAGACAAATGTTTGAAATTGAAGTCACGTGTAATAGGTCAAGTGTTAGTTTTTAGGCTTAGGCAGAAAAATAATGAAAGTTTTGAAAAGGAAATGTAAAGGGATCCTTTTGGTTTTTACCAACTCTGAGCTGATTTTGTATAGATTTGAATCTTGTGGACTGTAGTTTATTTTTGGCGCTGACTGAAAGATCTAAATTCTTTAGGTTCTGCGTGGATGATGCTCTCTCGCCCCTTCATAGAATACTGTTTATGGGGCTGGGACAATCTCCCAAGAATAGTCCTCATGTATTATGCCAACTTCCTCTCGTCTCCAGAAGGCTATTTCCACACTGTCATTTGCAATGCCGACGAGTTTCGCAACACCACGGTCAACCACGACCTCCATTTCATCTCGTGGGACAATCCCCCGAAGCAACATCCCCATTTCCTCAACCTCATTGACTTCCAACGTTTGGTAGACAGCAATGCACCCTTCGCTCGGAAGTTTGGCCACGACGATCCAGTCCTCGACAAGGTCGACTCGGACTTGCTCGGTTGCAATGCTGATGGATACTTTCCTGGCAGTTGGTTTGATTTGATCGGAAATAACAGTACTTCCCACATGCACAACGTAACAAACACCACTGAACTGAAGCAAGGACCTGGCGCCGAAAGGCTGAAGCACCTGATCCACGGTTTGCTAACAGCACCTGATTTTGACACTTCACATTGCGTGTAGCACCGACGAGGTTCGAGATCGATGGCGGGACGAGCGGGAGAGTGTATAGTTAATAGCATCATAGAGCAGACAACAAAGCTAAAGGGAAGGGAGAGTCACACTGGCTTTCTGGAAAACATGCTTTGGCTTAGATTCTTATATAAAAAAGGTACAATAATTCTGTAGTTCAATAGTCAGCAGCGGAGCTGGTTTTCTTTTGACAGACGTAGTTTTTATGATTGGTCATATAGAGATGTCATTGCATTAGACTTTATCAATGTAACTGATGCAATGTGCTGGCCAATTGGCTGAGTAGTTAGTTAATTTTCTTTTACATGTACTATTATCCAAAGTAAAAAAGTTATAATTAGTTTCAAGTTTCAACAGATGGATCTTCAATCTAAATACCGTTTAACTAGAGCATCGAGTCTTACACCTCCCACGTATGATATTGTAGTATTTTAAGTGATTCCAAATCTGGACGAATTTTAAGTTGTTTGTTACTTCAAGATTTTTAATAATTTGAAATTTTACTCGACAACATTTTCTGAATAAAATAGTTGGATTTTACAGGATTTCATAAAATTTCAAAAGTAAATTACTTATTTAACACTGTCATATTGTAATAATTCAATCAATTTGGATTAAAGGCTTAAATTAGTAAATTTTTTATCTTTTCTTTCATTTTATAGCAACCGTCCAAATAAATAAATTTAATTATATTCATTTCAAATCACTAAAAAGTCATTTTAAATTCATTCGATGCAAAAAATAAAAAAAAAATTCAAATTAAAAAACTAACCTTAAAACCTAAGTACTTGGAGACGAGTTCATAACATTTGAATTCAATAATTACAAGGTGTTTTGTTGAATCATTCACTTTTTCGAATGTTAACAAATACCTTATTCACTATTCGTTTATTTTTTATAGACGATTTTATGAATGGTGAATTGTTTTCTTTTAATATGACAATTAATCATTATGATTATCAAAACAAATATAGGTCAACAACAATTAACATATATCTCCAATAAAGAGGTGGAGAATTTAACTCCGAACGTCAGTACTAAAAAAAATGTTCTACGAACCTAAAAAAACACAGGACCGTGTTTGTCTGCCACTCCAAAGTCCAAACTCCAAACAAACCAAAAACAGCCATCTTTAATTTCGATGAAATAACTAAACTTCGAATGGGTTATTGATTGTATTGGCTATTTGGGTAAAGCGGAAAAATAAAGCAAAAAGGAAAAATGGCGCCTATTTTGCTTCCTTCCGTCTTCTTTCGAAAAACCCAGTGGGCGTAATACACAACTAGGGCTTACGAGCAGGGTTTATCGAACAGTTCTGCGTCTGTAAAATCGCCCTGCATTTTCCCGCGCTCCACCTTCCAACCCCCATTTCATTCTTCCACTTTCTTCGCCGGCTCCACAAGTACTGCCCACGTTCCGCCGCCATGATCTCCTCCAAGCAGAGTCTCCACATTATCGAGTCGGCGCTTCTGGGTCCATCCCCTCCTTCGCCGTCTCAGAGGGTAGAGCTCTTACACGCCATTCACGAGTCTATGCCTGCTTTTCGGTCGCTGCTTCAATTCCCTGTAAGTATGGTGTTGTTTTTCGTCGGTTGCTGAGATGGGTATTTCACCTTTTGTGATTTAGTAGCTTGTACTTGTCTGTTGGTGTTCTAATTTTGTTGAATTTCGGGTTGTAGCCGCCGAAAGCTTCAGACCGTGCACAAGTTCAATCTAGAGAAGTCAGGTGTCCAGATTCTTCAACAATAACGCTCGATGATCAGGACGTCCAAATTGTAAATTCTTCGTGTATTCGTTTCTTTTTTTGGGTTGTCAATCAGAAAATGACGTGGGTGTCATGGAATGCAGATTTGGTTGCTTATTTTTTGGTCGAGCACAGTTGAAAAATGATAGTTTAAGTAATTAACCTTCTTCCCCTTCTTCTTCAATTTTTGTTTCGTGGGAGACAGTAGACAATTGGGTCAGTGGAGAGTCGTTATTTATAAACGGGCGATGACTAGGGTCAATCCCAGCAGCGTCCTAGGAAAATTACGCCCTCTCTAATTCAAAATGTAAAAGAAGTGAACGTTTTAAAACTGTTTGGAACTGGAAGATGAATTTAATTAAACAATCTCCAGCATCATTTAACTTTGCCTTAGTACTCTCAGAAAATAATTATGATTCTTGCTGAGTAAACTAAAGCACAAAAGCAAATTGCTATGAACTGCCGAGTGAGGTTAGTTCTCCTTCGAGGTCAGTTAACTAGGCAATGATGAAGAATAACTCTTCGATCCCATTTCCTTCTCAGTTGGTCTATTATCATGGTTATGTTTTTATTTTTTTGATAAGAGCGTGGTTGTGTTTTTATGTTTGCATTATTCATCCAAGTTATATGAATGTTGAGGACCATAAAATTTTCCCTGTTTTGTTATAGCACAGTGTGGCTTTTATATCCACGTGATTTAATTTCACTTTCTTTTTTTTTTTTTTTGAAAAATTTAATTTAACTTTCATTATCGTTTGTAGGCTTTAAAATTGAGTGATGACCTCCATCTGAATGAAATAGACTGCGTGCGTCTACTTGTTGCTGCCCATCAAGAGGTATATCTCTCTTTCTCATATTTATTAACTGGTATCATATTTCACGTCAGCTTTATTTGTCTCCCTTTCTATGACTTGTTTTTCTTGTTCTTCGTAGTGGGCTTTAATGGGGCGAGAGCCTTCAGAAATTTTCCGCCTTGCAGCAGGGCTTTGGTATACAGAGAGAAGAGATCTAATAATGTCACTCTATACATTACTTAGGGTATCTATATCATCATTTTGTTTCTATCCTAATTTTGAATAATTAAATTATATATTTCATTGCCTATTGTATATTATATTCTTTTGTTTGCAGGCTGTTGTACTTGATCAGGGACTTGAAGCTGGTCTTATATCTGACATCCAAAGACACCTGGAAGATCTTATTAATAATGGACTAAGACAACGGTTGATTACTTTGATAAAGGTTAGTTCTTCATAGGCTCTCTTTGAGGCTATGTCATATGTGTAAACCTTCCTCTGAAGCTTGGAATCATGTTACTATTATGCCATAACATCAACTTGGTATTTAGTTATGTGGACTTTTGAATCTTGAAAACAAAATTTTGCTAGTAAATATGAAATTTGTCTGTATTTTGTGATCTTTTAACATCCTGACCCTAAAAATAGTTTATTTTATATTAGTCTTGTGAGATTTACAGAGACACGTGGTGGTTAGAAAGTGTTGTCCATTTTCATAATCCCGACAATAAGATTTCTGCCTCAAATTGGAGTGTTGAACACAAGTTATTTTGTAACTATTTGATCTAGATGGTAGAGCTTTTATGTAATGCCCTCTTTTGGGAGAAGGGACAACTTTGTCCTTTAGGTTGTTTTTGCCTTGATTATTATTATTTTTTTAAATGGAAGTTTCGATGTCTCTTATTAAAAAAGAAAAAAAAAACGTGTCTTTGTAATTATAGCGTTCCTTTAATCAACTGGTGTTGGAGATAGCCTCACTTATATCATAATTACAACTGGAACTTATTTGTTATGAATGTAGAGGTTGTTGTTCGTGGTCTCTCGAGCCCTCATGAGTCTTTTTTTTGGTTAGTTATTGTACTTTTATCTTGTTTGGTCTTATTTTCCCTCCTTTTTCTTTTGTGGAAGCTTAAAATCCTAAAGTGGATCTGGTTCTTTTATTAGCTCCTAGCCTAGGGATGATTAACATCGTGGAATTTTTGAAGATAGTCTCCACTTTTGTTCATGCCTAAACTGGTGTGTCTAGCGCATGTGTAGTGCAAGGATCTGGATCGTGTTTTGGGGTTATGATTTTTTCTTTTAAAGTGTGGGGTTGTGTATGGTAGGGTGTCTTGCATCTCTTAGCTTAGAGTTAGAGTTTGAGTATTTGAGGAATGATGGAGGAAGTTATTTTGGATCCTCCATTCTACGGGGAAAGGCCTGTATTCTTTGGCGAGCTGGCTCCTTTTCTGTTTTCTAGTTTATTTGGTTGGATTTTTTTTATTCAAACTCCAAAAGGGAGCGTAAAAAAGACTATATAGCTAAATAAAGTACAAATCTCCAAAAATTTCAAGAAAATAAAACATTAAAGAACAAAATGCCTATGACGAACCGAAACAACCAAAACCACTCCCTTCAATTTGCAAAAGCTACACCAATATATTGAACAGGAGAAAAGCACGTCCATAAGCCTTTGATGAGAGCACCGATCGGAGAATGTCCATGGTAAAATTCTTCATTTGGACTTTGTTCTATAGAGGGGTAAATACCGCAGAGAAACTTCAAAGGAAATTACCTCATTGGACTCTTTTTCCCTATGTGTGCACAATGTGTATGTGCAACAATGAAACAGTGGACCACCTTTTTCTCCATTGCCTTTTTGTGTCCAAAGTTTGGGAGTTTATAGCTCTTTGCTAGATTTCTCTCTCTGTATTCCTAGAAGAATTGAGGATTTCATTGCTTAAGGTTATGGAGGAAGGCAGCTCAAGGGCAAAGCTTGGGTTCTTTGGAATTGTGCCGCCCGGGCTCTTTTATGGTCGATATGGAAGGAATGGAATAGTCGGCTTTTTGAAGATAAGTTGATTTTGTTAGATTCTTTTTGTGTGAATATTAAGCATCTAGCTTCTTGGTGGGCTTTACTACACAAGAAAGTTTTTTGTAACTACAATCTTATTTTGCTTACACAAGATTGGAAAGCGGTGATTGTGTAGAGCTTTGGGGAGGGTTACCTCTACCCTCTGCCTTTTGTTTGTATCCCATTTAGGGGCCTTCTTGATTTGAATACACATATGTTGTTTCTTATAAAAAAAAAAAGAAAAGAGAATGTCCAAACAACGGAATTGTCCCATAAGCAAGAATAACAAAAATTTGCAAGAACCATGGTTTGGACAACTTCTGCAAGGAGAACCACAGGTGGCTATAATCCACCCAATGCTATCAATAGACCCCTACAAGTTGCCATCATAAAGGAACCAAAAATTTCAACATGCGAAGGGAAAAACCTTTTGTATTGGATAAAAGGTCCTCAAGGCGTCCATGTATCCCAACCTTTAAACATTATACAACCCAAAAGGAGAGTTCAAAGAATAGACTACCACTCTTTGGTAGAGAACTTGATGCATTAATAAAATATCATTTCTAATTGCCAATTTAGTTGGAGCTTTGGTTTGAGAGAAACCAAAGGATTTTTGAGGAAAAAAGATGACCTTGGTGGAGTGTTTCAGTTTGGCTAAGTTTAAAGCATCTAAATGGCGTGCTCTATCCAATATTTTTGCTTATTACTCTCCTAATATGATATATGCTAATTGGGGGGCTTTCCTTCTCCCAATATAGATA